ATTCTCTCATTGTTATACAATTCCTCCCCCTAAGTCCACTCCACTATGCAGCCTTCATTCTGGACTCCTGTCATGACAATAATACCTAATCATGTATCCCTTTTATAAACAGTTCTCTCCCTCATCAGTTTCAATGCAGTATACATAATTTATCCTATCTTTCTCAGTCCCATTTTTACAACAGTGGCACTATGCAGTGTTTGTCCTTTTGTGACTGAGATATTTCACTCAACATAATGTCCTCCAGGGTCACCCATTTTGTATAATATTTCATGAGTTCCTTGTTTTTCAGTGCAGCATGGTATTCCATTGTGTGAATATACTACAGCTTCTCTATCCATTCATTTGTTGGTGGACACTTAGGTTGTTCCCAACTCTTTGCTATTGTGAACAAAACAGAGTGTACCTATATATGCTTGGGTGGCAGTTATGGTTTCTTTGGGGTATATTCACAGTAGTGGATTTGCTGGGTCAAATGGTATTTCTATTTGCAACTTTTTGAGAAAGTGCTATACTGCCTTCCATAGTGGTTGCATTATTTTACACTCCCACCAACAGTGAATAAGGGTTCAAGTTTCTCCACAACCTCTCCAGCATTTGTTGTTTGCTGTTCTGTTACATTTTGGTATTCTTATTTGGGTGAGATGATATCTCATAGTTGTTTTAATTTGCATCTCTCTTAGAGCTAGGGATTTTCAACATTTCTTCATGTGTTTGTTTGCCAGCCTAATGTCTTCTTTGGTGCAGTGTCTGTTCATATCCTGTGTCCATTTTCCATTTTTCAATTGTGGTGTTCACCTTTATCTTGTTATGGTGAAGAATTGACACCTTTGAACTGTCGTGCTGGAGAAGAGCACTGAACAACCAGCCCATGGATGGCCAAGAGAATAAACATGTATGTGTCAGAGAGGGTGCAGCTGGAGTGCTCTTTGGAGGCAGAAATGGTGAGGCTTTGCCTGACATACTTTGGGAATGTTCCTTGGATAGGGACATGATGCTGGGAAGGGTGGAGAGTCAATGAAGGAGAAGACCCTCAACCAGGTGGATTGACATGGTGACTACTGCAATGGGCACTTATGCGTCAGGAAGTGTGAGGATTGCACAGGATAGAGCAAGGTTCAGATCTTTTGTTCATGAGGTCACTATGAGTCATAATCGACTTGCTGGCACCTAAAAACAACAACAACATCTATATGCCTATCCGTAGAAATCTATGCATAGAAATTATGCAGAATGTATCACTCAGGGAGCACATAAACTTTGTACTATGTGTCCTGGGGTAGAGTAGCCAATGAGCAAGGTAAGCACTGACTTAATTGTACTTATTGACTAATCTATAGGAAATCCTGTTAAGGACCTCTGTTTTTTAAAGTGCTAAAGAGCAAAGATGTCAGTTTAAAGATGAAGGAGCACCTAATCCAAGCCACAGTATTTTCAATTGCTTCTTTCCCCTTCCCATCCCTTTTTAATATTGGAACATTTATTACAGAACTAAACATTGAAATCCTTAAGATGAACTGGGTGCTGTAATTGTTAGATGCCCTCCTGGGTTCAGGTGTTGTTCTTTCATGGAATCTGTGCCTGGATCTACAGTATGCAACTTTTAGGTGCCTCCTACAACTAGTGGTGATGGTATTTTGCCTTCTAGCCTTGGCACTCTCACTATACTTTCTCTTGTGCTTGGCAGGGTAGCCACCCTTGCCACAGGTGAACTCCTGGAGATGGTAGGCCTTGGAGTCACAGCAGCGGCACAAGGTGTGCACCTTATTGCAACACATTCCCTTCCTCATCTCGTTTTTTGCGGCTGAGACCAAAGTCAATTTTTTGCGGCTGAGACCAAAGTCAATAGCTGCTTAGGCATCTGGAAGTTGGACAATGAATAAGGAAGGGGGAGGGGGGGAGAACCGATGCCTTTGAACTGCGGTGTAGGGAACAAGTATTGAATATACACTGCGAGCTGCCAAAATAACCAACAAATCTGGCCTGGAGAAAGTACGACCAAGGTGCTCCTTAGAGGCAAGGATGGGGAAACTTCATCTCACATACTCTGAGTATGTTGTCAGGAGGGAGTAGTCCTTGGAAAAAGACATCGTGCTGGGGAAACTAGAGGGTCAGTACAAAAGAGGAAGACCCTAAACAAGACATGTTGACACAATGACTGGAACAATGGGCTTGAGTATGGTGGAGATCCTGAGGGCGGAGCGAGATAGGGCAAGGGATGTGTTCCTAGGGTTGCTCTGAGTTGTGGTCAACTTGATAGCACCTAACAAATAAATAGTTTCACCTGGGTTCACATATCTTTTATATTATAAAAATAGGTGTACATGTAAGCCCATGCTTATCTTGTTTATTGAGTCCTCTGTCTCTATCAAGGATTGTAAACTTGAAAGCAGGCTTTGATTCTATGGGAAGGTGCTATGGGGTTGGGAGAAAAAGAGATGCCAGCTCTACTTGGAATCTTTGATGTGGTTAAAAAAAAAAAAACCCAACCCTGAAATGGCCCACTGCTGATTAGTAAGTAAGCACAAGGAAGCCTGTGCTTCCCTTCCTAGGGAAATCTGACACTGAGTGTGCCAGGCACTGAGCTAAGTCTCTCATGGCCTCCACAGGAAATGACCCTAAGTGTTGGATAGCAGTGCCCTAAGCAGTGGCATCCTTAACACCGATGAGAGGTCCTATGTGGTTGAAAAGGGTTTGAGTTTGTCCCCAAAGGGCAGTTGATATTCCCAGTTTCAGTCCTCCCCAGCAGTTGAATCCTGAGTCAGTAAAGAGGGGTTTGAAAATGACCCTTTGGCTAGAAAGAAAGGGAATTCCTTTCTTATCCCACTGAGGCTGGTGGTCAACAGGAAGTGTGGCAACTGCATGGGAGACTCAGTGGCCTATGAGAAGCCTATTAAAGGGCATCTCTGTGTGCCAATCCTATTCCCTGGACCTTTGCTGCAGTCTTGTCAATAGATGAGCCCATTTTCAGCTGGACTGTGGTAAACTGGAAGTGTCTATCAAAGAGATAGCAATGTTCTTTCTTTGGTCAGATGGTCAAGGCAGGACTGCCAAGGCCACTAGTCCCCAGAAGCAGGTCAGCGTCCAGGGCTGGAGGTCCAGTTGCCCTTCTCTGCCCGGGAGATCTCCTTTCACAGGTTATTATTATCAAACACTTCAGAGAGCCAGCTGGTGTCCCTACAGGGTCTGTCACCTTGTTATTTCAGATCTGGATGTTGATTATATAAATTCTGTATTTAGTTTAGATCATCCCCGAAGGCTTCCAGAACAGAACAGCAAACAATGTGAGTATGGAGAAGAAAAAAGAAAAGAAAAAAGGCCACACAAGTGGTGTGTGATACATAAGTGCTCTTCAGAACCTGAAGCAAACTGCCTTCAGAGGTCACCAATTATGTAAGAAGTAGAAAGACCATGGGCAAGAGTACCAAGCTTCCATGGAACTGTCATTGACATTCAAACCTGAAACTTGACTGAGCGTGGCTCCCCAGAGCCGGCCTCTGATTTTTATTCTCGCCAGACTGGTACCGAAACTCCTGCTGAGCATAGTGTGTGTGGAAGCAGTCTCTGGCTTTCCAGCCTGGTGCCTGCGTGGCGGGAAAGGTGCCCACTCCTTTCTTTGCTTGTGGTCTGTACATCTGCGTCTAAGTGCCCCATTACCAGAGGTGGCCCACACAAAGGTCATGTTCTTCTTTAAGACAATAAAGCTTCTCATCTAATGCTTATTCAGAGTCGTGTTGACTTCTCCTTATTGAGCAACTTTGTATTTACTGAGCGATCAGCCATTATTTGTACTGTTTGCAATCTCTTTTACATTCTCAAGGCTGGCTTTCTGTTCACCCAGCACAAGTGAAAAGTCATGTCAGGCAGGCACGTGGTGTTCAAGAATCTTCAGGAATTACCATGGGCTTATTACTAAGAGATAGGACTCCAGCCCTCCTTCCCTTCTGACAACTAAGTAATAATACAATTTGGACTGAAAATGGGGTTTTAAAAACCAACTATTACAAGGTAAATATGTGAATGAGGAAGTCAAGATTTTAAACCCAATTTGGAGACTGAGAAACCTCTTTGTCCTCACCCTTGTTTAATGTGCCTTCCTTTGAGGTAGGAGTAGGAGCCCTGGTGGTCCAGTGGTCAAAGCACTCAGCTGCTAACCCCAAGGGAAGTGGTTCAAATCCAGCAGCTGCTCTAGAGAGAAAGATGTGACAATCTGCTTCCTTAAAGAACACAGCCTTGGAAAGCTCAGTTCTACTCTGTCCTGTGGGATCCCTCCCTATGAGTTGAAATTCACTGGTTGACAGTGGGTTTGAGTGATAAGGTAGGAATAGCCCTTTGTGTGCTTTTGTGATGGTAACATGTTCAAGTGGATTGTTCAAAGCTTAATTCTGTTTTGATGAAAAGTTTTCAGTAAAATCAAGACCTATCTGTTCATTAGTAGCACAGTGGATTTAGGTACACCTCCCCGCCCCCCAATTAACCAAAAGTGGTCCTGTGCTTCATTCCCTCCCTCCAAATTCAGCAGAGAATCTTAACATCATGAAACAAAGACAGGTGTTTGTAAAATATTCCATACGCAGCCCTAGCATTTCCCTGTCCTTTTTGATAAGGGATCAAAAAGGTGGGTGTGTCAGCCTCTGGCAGCAACCCTTCTTGAAAGACTGGTTACCCTTCAGAATCTTAACCAAACTCCCAGAACACAAAGAGCACAAGGTTGGTCGCATTCAACTTAAATGCTTTTATTGACAATGTTTTTGAACAATAAGCAAACAATGCTTAGATTTATTTTCATTCAAATTCACTTTCCACATGTCAAAAGACCTCAAGGTAGAAAAAAAATAAAATAAAAATATAAATATCTGATAATCCATCTTAATAAATAAATTAAAAACACAATAAAACGTTTTCATGGAAAACTGTTAATGTCAGAACATTCAGACCACCTCAACAATGCATGATCGGTAACATTACAATGAACATTGATGTTGAAGGAAACTACAGTACATGGATATAGCTAGTTATCTCTACCTACTAGAAAATAAAGTTGTATCTTTTTCTTAGTTGAATATTGGTCATTTCTAATCAGAACACACTATTGCCAGGAACACAGTAGTTATTGTTAAAATCAGCTGCACTAGATACAATTTGAAAATATCCAGCACCAGGTTAATTCCAATAATGAACCAAATAGATTAGTTAATGCTATGAGAAGACTAAAGAGAAAGAGAAAAGAGAACACAGACCCAGGCCTGGCTCAACATGCTACTAACTACCAGCTCTCAGAGGTGTCACTGGGAACAATACACACTCCATGCGTTTTGCTACATCTCTGGAAGAAGTAAGGACTCGAGTCCACGTGTGGGATGCTTGCAAGTTCTCGAGGCCCCCAGCCTGGTGTGATTCACGCACAGAAAAGGTCCTCCCTAGGTCTACGAGAACCCTCGAGGGAAGACGGCGTTTCTCCTCTCTGTAATGCAGCGGCTCAGGCAGCGGCATGTGTGGGTGCCCTCTGCCTCCCCTTCCCTGCCTGTTCACAGGGCCAGCAGCGTGGGTGAGCTGAGCGAGTCAGAGGAGGGCTCATTGCTGCTGCTGCCCTTACGATGGGCTGCAGCACAGCTGGGGAAGGAGTCAGCCTCGGGGTAGGTGAAGACGAAGGAAGACGTGTAAGTGGTGCAGCTGGGAGTGCAGGTGACCACAGGGGTACACAGGGGCTCCAGCTCTGTGGCCAGGGGCCCCATCCCCAGGGCGCCACCGTGCAGGGGCTCCCAGTCTGCTGCATAGAAGGAGCCAGACAGGTCCATGTCTGGCACAGAGCGGGCGGTCTCGGAACCACTGGGCCTGGAAGATGCTGGGAACAGGAAGTCATCGAAGGGCTCAGTCTTCAGCTCCATATTGCTGACGCTCTTGACTGGCTTCAGCGAGGGCTTGGGCTCCGGGTCATTGAGGAGGGGCAGCTCAAAGGCCTCCTCAGACTCTGGGGTGTCAGCTTCAGGCAGACCCCCACTCAGATCGAGGGAAGCCACAGACATGTCTTCGGAGAAGCCCAGGTCATCCGGGATCTTGCAGCCAGGCCGGTGGGCAGCCAAAATGAACTCCAGTTTTTCCTTCTCCTTCAGCAGGCTGGCAATCTCGGTCTGCAGAGCAGACTTCTCATCTTCCAGCTGGTCTGTCTCCTGCACACAGAGGAAAGGAAGCAGCATAAGACACAGGCTTCCTCAAAGACCCACTTCCTCGGGCCCAATTTCCAACTTTCCCCTCAAGTTTGCAAAAGGAGGGAGAGAGGAGTTGTACCTACCGCTTGGAGTGTATCTGTCAGCTCCCTCCTCCGGTTCCTGCATTTGGCTGCAGCCATCTTATTCCTCTCCCTTCGGATCCGTCTTTTCTCTTCTTCTTCTGGAGACAGCTGAAATAGCAGGAGAAGAGCCACACTGAGTAACCAAGTCAACCATACCTCTGCTCACAAATCCAGAGAAACTGGCCCTTGTCACTATGCAATTTCCTGGCACCTCGTCTGCGAAGCCATGTCTAACCTGCAGTTAGTTGCAGGACGAATGTGACTTGCATTTAAAGTAAGGGCCCCAGCAAAAGAACAAAGAAAAGCCCCATCTAAAAGTATGAGACAGGAAACTATTAGGGAAGAACTTGCTAGGGTTCTTCTTTAGGGTGGGACTACCCAGGGTCTAACTTGGTGCCAGCGTTTGGGATACTGAATGGGGCAGTCAGTTCTCCACCAATTGACTTCACTCTCTGCACCTCTATGTGGCCCTGTCAATGGAGGGAAAGTGCTACGGAGGAGCGCCTCACCTGTTCCACTTTGCCTCTCCGGCCAGTGCTTGGCGCTCGGCCTCCTGTAGCGGCCTTCACGACACCAGCTCTGGAGTAAGCGCCAGTGGAGGGGGCAGGAACTCCATAAGGGTGGTGGGCTCTGGTCTGCGATGGAGCCACGGAGGAGACGAGGGTGGGCTGCACCAGCCACTGCAGGTCGGGGCTGGTGGAAATGGCAGTCACCGTGGGGATGAAGCTGGAACTGGAGGCAGCCAGATCGGTGCAGAAATCCTAGAACGAAAGAGAAGGGGGGAAGCGGACGTGAGCGAGGAGCTTCCAGACACAGGTGGGTCGAGCCCAGTTCCCAGTGCCGCATGCAGCAGGAAGCGGGCCGGAGGAGCGGCAGAACACTGCCCTCTCCTATGTCCTTCATCCCGGTCGAAAGGTCTCCCCCTTTCCTCCCAAGATATCCGCAGCGCAGTGCCTTTCGCCTCCATCCCGCTGCTGCGTTCGCGTTATCCCTTCAGCATCACTCGCTTGAAAGGGGGTTTGTTATAAATATCCCTGACGTCTGCGCTGACGCAGGCGCCGCTCCGGAGTCTCCTGAATGAACTCGCTTTTTATCAATGAAACTGCCTTACACACCCGCCTGCTGCACCCTCTTCCCCGGCCCCTCCTCCCTTATCCAGGCTGCGGGGTGGTGGGGGACGGTTGCCCTTTTTTTACCCCCCTCTCTTAGGAAGTGAGGCTCTAGTTAGTTATTTGGAACCTGTTTTTGTCCCAGCACATGCCAGAGACTTTGCTCTACAGCTCAGACCAGTCACTGTTTAGAGTGAGCCTGCAGCAAAAGGAGGGAACCAAGTCTTACTATATGACAAGTGTGCGTGTGTGCGCTCGGAAGTCCTGGGTTCCCAGGCACGCTCTCCTCTCCAAAGGTGAGAAGATCTGTCTTCCTGAGCATCCCGCCCCGGTGTCTCCTCCCCGGCCACCCAGAGCCCCGATACCCCGCAGCGGCGCAAAGCCCACCTTACCTGCGCATTGACCGGGGAACCCATGCTGGAGAAGGAGTCGGCGGGCGAGTGGTAGTAGGAGAGGCTGTCCCCGGCCGGGGAAGCACTGCTGCAGCGGGAAGAGGTGGCCTCATAGTCGGTGTTGAAACCTGAGAACATCATGGTGGCGAGGAGGTGAAGCCTGGAGGGCGAGGGCCGAGAGCGGAGACAGGTGGGAGCGGTGAGCAGAGCTGGGTGGGAGCGCGGGGACTGCTCGCTCGCTGCGCGCCGCCGGCTCTGTCTCGGCTGCTCCAATGCTCGCTGCAGACGCGGTTGGAGTACGAGGCGCCGCAGCGGCTGCTTTTATAACAGCATTTTATGAATGAACCCTCGCGTCATGGACCAAACCATTGTGGAGCCAGAGGGGTGGCCCCAGCCACTGTAGCTGTCTCCCCGCCTCTGCCGAACTCCTAGCCCCCAGGTCTCTGTCTGGTATTTTTTTATCCCATGAGCATCTAGTAACATGTGTCTTGGGGGTCCCATGACCCTTCAAACGAGCGCTTTGGAGACGGCTCCCCCCACGGGCTCAGAGTCCGGCCGTGGAAACCTGCTGACGCAGATATCCTAATATGGACATCCTGTACACGGTGGGAAGGGACTGACGGGAACTGCTAGCGGGCTGAAGCCAACACCAAGGGTGCAGCGCGGGGGGAGGAGGGGGCCGCGGCGGGGGAGGGGGCGGCCAAGGCGAAGAACTCGAGAGAACATTCGCACCTTGGTCAATGCGGACTCTTGTTCCCCGGGTGGGGGTGGGATGCCTCTTTGCCAGCGGTACTGAACCCCAAGCCAGTTGTGACGCTCAGGTAGAGGAGAAACAGGTACACGACCCCGAGCGCTTAAAGCGTCGTCTTAGAAAGAATGCGTCCCCAGCCCACCCCCAGTTCTAGACCCAGTTCTGTGCAAATGTGGAAACAGACCCTCACTCCCTTCCCTCTGTCCTCGGTGTTTGCGCACCCTAGGACTTGTTACTGCGTTTAGAAGCAGAAAGTCGGGGGATCCAAAATAAGGGACTACGATAACCTACTTTGTCTACGATGCTGGGTATTTTAATTTCATTTGTGTTTCTAAGGAAGACAGTGCGTTCTTTTTTTCCTAGACCACACATGAGGATCAAGTCCCTAGGGACATCAGCAGGTAAACATTGTTGTAAAACCTTCCTGCAAGGGGTGGTTGGCCTTATCCTGAACTGGGCTAGGGGTACGTAACCTGGGCTGGGGTGTTCGTTCTGGGTAACTGGGGGTGTGCGCTTCTTGGGGAGCGCAGGTCCAGTGAAGGAGCTGTGGAGGGGGTGGGGTGGTTCGGTCCCGCCAGGAAGCACGCAGCGGGTGATTTTCCAGCGCGGATTTGGAGGGGGAACGATGGAGGCGCTGGAGGGACCATGCCCAGCAGCGCCCCGGCCTTAGACCATGACCTGGAAAACCAGACTTAGGGGAAGCCAGGTGCTCCGCAGCACGCCGCGCCCCCAGACTTCCCTCATTTCCTCCCCTGGCTGGAAAGGACAGCCAGGGTCACTTTGCCCCGGTTCAGCCCCAGCGCCCTGGCCACCTCACCCTGGGCCTGGGGGTGTGGGGAGGGTCACAGCCCTCTGGGGGGCACCTCGAGAGGGGCGCGGCGGGCCAGGCGGGGTTAGGGAGCGGGCGGGTCGTTCTGGGCGCGCAGGGAGCCTGGCGGCGGGCCTGCCTCCCGCCGCCGCACCCCGGAGCCAGGCGATCCTGCTATAGATAGTAACAGGGAAGCGGCTGTTTACAGCAACACAGCGCCGCCAGGGCCGTCTCCAGGCGACGCCGCACGACCGGGCGCGCCGTCGGCCCAGCGAAGCCGCCCGCCTTCTGCGCTCCCTAGAGGCCGAGGCCTCCCCGGGCCGCCTGCGGCCGCTGTAGCCGCCTGACATCATCCGCTGGGTCAGGGGGCCGAGCGCCGCTCCTGCCCCGCTGTGCATTAACCAACCTCCATTCTTAGAGATCTGAGCGCAGAGCGAGCGGGGAGGGCGGAGAGGCAGGCGGGGATTCGTGGAACTGGGTCACTTACTATTTTTGCATTCCCAGTCACAGACGGAGGTGAAAACAGAATTTCATCATTGTATGTCACTGGTTTATGTCGGTGGGAATGTAGGTGTTTTGGTTTGGGGTTGTTTTTTGGTTTTTGTTTTTTTGGTTTTTTCTTTCTTTCTCACTTATTAAGAAAAGGAAAAACACATAGTATATAAACACAGACTTATCAGAGCTCTGAGAGCCAAAGCTGTTCTGTGACCTTCTTTCTTCTAATTCTGTCAAACTTAACTCCATCAAGCTACTTCATTCCCCCTCGATATTGGGGAGCAAGGAAGGGGAGATAAAGGAGAAGTGTTCGGAAGACACATTCATCGTTCTCATTACTAGATTCTGAGAGATAGTCAAGCTTTGAATTCCTGAACCTGGCCTGGCCCCCCTATTCCTAATTGGGTCTCAGGGCCATTTCAGTGAAAACCTAGGATGATATGATTTACTTCTGCTCCAAGTTTGAAGCTGCTCAGGCCAATACCTAAAGTTGTTAAGATTTTATATCCAGGTTTTATCTCAATTATTACTTATCCTGCCTTTGGAAATGAAAAGAGAGGAGAGGGGAGAAAGGGGAGAGGAAAGAGAAGAGAAGAGAGGAGAGGAGGGGAGGGGAGGGGAGGGGAGAGGAGAGAAGAGAGGAGAAGAGGAAGAGAAGAGGGAGAAGTTTGGGTGTGCCTGTCTCCTCTAGCTAACTTAACTCTTTCCTGCCTGGCACCATGATAGAGTCACTGTTGTTGTTGTTATGTGCCATCGAGTCGTTTCCGACTCATAGCGACCCTATGCACAACAGCCCTAAACCCTGCTCTATCCTGTGCCAACCGCAC